TATATTGGAAGCCTATGTTTGGATATCGGAAGTGTTCCGGGTGAAATCGGGATTTTACCGGAGTACCGGGAGGTTACCGGAACCCCCCGGGAGGTATATGGGCCTTAGTGGGCCTTAGTGGAAGAGAGGAGAGGTGGCCAGAGATGGGCCGCGTGCCTCTCCCCCCTTGGTCCGAATAGGACAAGGAGAGGGGGCCGGCCCCCCCTTCCTCCTCTCTCCCCCTCCACGAATCCTATTCCAACTAGGAAAGGGGGGAGTCCTACTCCCGGAGGGAGTAGGACTCCTCCTGGCGCGCCTCCTCTTGGCTGGCCGCCCCCCCTCCCCCTTGAGCCTTTATATACGGAGGCAGGGGCACCCCCTAGAGACACAAGTTGATCCACATGATCATATTCTTAGCCGTGTGCGGTGCCCCCTTCCACCATAGTCCTCGATAATATTATAGCAGTGCTTAGGCGAAGCCCTGCGACATTAGTACATCAAGATCGTCACCACGCCGTCGTGTTGACGGAACTCTTCCCCGACACTTTGCTGGATCGGAGTCCGGGGATCGTCATCGAGCTGAACGTGTGCTAGAACTCGGAGGTGCCGTAGTTTCGGTGCTTGATCAGTTGGGCCGTGAAGACGTACGACTACATCAACCTAACGCTTCCGTTGTCGATCTACAAGGGTACGTAGACACACTCTCCCCTCTCGTTTCTATGCATCACCATGATCTTGCATGTGCGTAGGAATTTTTTTGAAATTACTACGTTCCCCAACACTAGGGCCTCTGCGTCCGGACAGTCGACTATTTGGTTTTTCTTTGTTAGGAACCGTGTCCAAAATTGCCTGGCCGATTCCTCTGGCTGCTGAATTATGTGGCTTAGGTCATCCGCGTCCGGTTCTCGCACATAGATACCCTGAAAATTGTCGAGGAATGCGGCTTCCAGGTCTTCCCAAGAACCGATTGAATCTGCCGGCAAGCTGTTAAGCCAATGCCGGGCTGGTCCCTTAAGTTTGAGTGGGAGGTATTTGATGGCGTGTAGATCATCGCCGCGGGCCATGTGGATATGAAGGAGATAATCCTCGATCCATACCGCCGGATCTGTTGTGCCATCGTATGACTCGATGTTCACGGGTTTGAAACCCTCAGGGATATTATGATCCATTACTTCATCTGTGAAGCATAGTGGGTGTGCGGCGCCTCTGTATTGGGCTATATCACGACGCAGCTCCAATGAGCATTGTCTACTTTGTTCGGCCAGGCCGGATTTATTATGTCCGGAGTGACGATCCCCGTCACGTGTCATAGGGCGCCCACGCGATCCGTAGATCGATCTTGTTTGTCTTGCCTTGTCCTCCAGTATCTCTCGCAGGTCTGGCGTCTCCCGTGCCTTAGCATGTTTTGAGCGGCGCCGGGGCACGGCTTGAGTGGAGGGCTGAGAGGCCTCTCTTTCACGGCCACGAGGTGGCCGGTCGGCCATGTCATGCGCTGGTGATGTAGGTGCTTCCTCCTCTAATCGAGGTAGAAGCCTGTGCTTTGGGTAACTCTTGGAGGGGCGTTCGAGTTCATACTCCTCGGCCGCAAGGACTTCAGTCCATCTGTCAGCTAGCAAATCTTGATCATCTCTAAGATGTTGTTGCTTTTTCTTGAGGCTTCTTGCCGTGGCTATAAGCCTGCGTTTAAAATGCTCTTGTTCGGCGGGATCCTCTGGCACGACGAATTCGTCGTTGTCAAGGCTTGCCTCGTCTTCGGAGGGAGGCATATAATTATCATCCTCAACCTCTCTGTCTGCCGCTCTCTCGTGAGGGCTGGCTTCTCCATCCTCCTGTGTCGAATCTTGCTGGAGGGGGTGTTCTTCGGCGCTATCTGGAGTAGTATTATCTCCCGTGCCGGAATCACCGTTTTTGCTTTGGCGGGATTTGGAGCGGCGCCGCTGACGCCGGTGCTTGGTCTATTTCTTGGATGCGTCATCCTCCGCTGTTCCATCGCCATCTCCATCTTTTGGAGTGTCCACCATATATATGTCGTATGACGAGGTGGCCTTCCAGTGCCCTACAGGTGCTGGTTCTTGGTCGTCTCCTGCATCGTCGTCCATACCGTCGATGTCTTCGGAGTCGAAGTCGAGCATGTCGGTTAAGTCGTCGACAGTGGCTACGAAGTGGGTGGTGGGTGGGCTTTGAATTTCTTCATCGTCTGTATCCTAACTTTGCTGACCTTAGTCCGGCCAGGGCTCTCCTGATAAAGAGAGAGACTTTAGCGACTTCAGGATGTCGCCGAAGGGCGAGTGCTGAAAGATGTCCACGACGGTGAACTCCATGATCGGTGCCCAATCGGATTCGATCGGCGGGCGCGCGGAGGGCTCGGAGTCTGGAGAGGAATCCGGCCCCTCGGGGTCACGGGCCTTGCGGGGCTGGCGTTCGGCTCGATCGCCTTTGAGATCGCAGCCCTCGAGGCGGCGTCCAACCACTCATCCTCGACCGGCGCAGTAGGCTCCGAATTAAGGGTCGGAACCAATGCGTGTGCGGCGTTCGGCTCGAATCCGTCGAAGATCAAGTCCCCGCGGATGTCAGCCGTGTAGTTTAAACTTCCAAATCTGACCTGATGGCCAGGGGCGTAGCTTTCGATCTGCTCCAGGTGACCAAGCGGATTGGCCCGCAGTGCGAAGCCGCCGAAGACGAAGATCTGTCCAGGGAGAAAAGTCTCACCCTGGACCGCATCGTTGTTGATGATCAAAGGAGCCATCGGGCCTAAAAGCGACGACACAGAGGAACTCTCAATGAAAGCACCAATGTCGGTGTCAAAACCGGCGGATCTCGGGTAGGGGGTCCCGAACTGTGCGTCTAGGCGGATGGTAACAGGAGATGAGGGACACAATGTTTTACCCAGGTTCGGGGCCCTCTTGATGGAGGTAAAACCCTATGTCCTGCTTGATTAATATTGATGATATGGGTAGTACAAGAGTAGATCTACCACGAGATCAAGGAGGCTAAACCCTAGAAGCTAGCCTATGGTATGATTGTTGTATGTTGGGGTTTTTCTACGGACTAAAACCCTCGGGTTTATATAGACACCGGAGAGGGTTAGGGTTACACAAAGTCGGTTACAATGGTAGGAGATCTGAATATCCGCATCGCCAAGCTTGCCTTCCACGCCAAGGAAAGTCTCATCCGGACACGGGACGAAGTCTTCAATCTTGTATCTTCATAGTCCAGGAGTCCGGCTAAAGGTATAGTCCGGCTACCCGGGCACCCCCTAATCCAGGACTCCCTCACTCCACTTCAAACCTGGATGTCAGATCCATCCGTCTCTGGGACGACGGCGACGGCTCCTTAAGGAGTTCGTCGGGCGGGATCGGCTGCTCGCCGGGCGCGCGCCTGTGAAGCGAGGTGGAGGAAGTGGTGGACGTGGTGCTGCAGGCTAGAGGCGGAGGCGTGGCAAAGCCCTGCGGCAGCGACGCTGAAACTGGTTGTCTTGCGGCGCTCATGCATGAACTGTTCAACCTTGGGCTCGTCTCGGGCGGAGATTGACCCGCTCCATACGATCGCCGGGAGTCGACCGACTGTGTGAGAACTGCTGGATTGACCAGAATAATGGTGGTTTTGGCCCTGCTATTTTTCAAACACCAACTCGTCGATCGACCAACTCTGTCTCCATGATTGGACCATCGTCGAGTTCCGTTCTTCCTCTGGGAGATATTCACAGTTCGTCACAAGATGCTACTGGATATTTAGAGTGGAATCGACGCGGTCGTGCACACCCTTTTTGGGCGAGGCACGAAGCTTCGTCTTCTGGTCATCACCATGGGACATGTCTTCATATAGATTTCCATGAAGTGACAGAAATGGAGAAAGACATGGCAGCTACGATTGAAGGTTTGTTTTTGGCAGAGAGAGTGTTGGTTGTGTTGAAGACGATGCGGCACAAGTTCTTCCTGTGTGTCGGGCGTTCGACGACTTGCAGCAGCAGCCTTGGCAAGCGGGGGTGGCAACACAGGCGGACTGCATTTTTGGTGATGCTCCTCGAGTACAGAGCCATGACTTTCAGGGTGAAAACATAAGGTCTGGCCTTCATTGGTTGTACCTGGCAATGGCATTTCTCAAGGAATTGTTTTGGAAACTTGGTCTTTCTCTGAGGTGAAAACCCAAAATCTTCGAGCGGGCGACAACAATGCTTATGCATTGTTTTCTTCTTGAAGGCATTGGTTTTGGAGAGCCTAGTATGTAGTACGGGTGTTGTATTTGGTGGTGGTTAGAGTGCTTCTGTTGCGAATGGTTGTACACCGCGACGGGGCTTTGTTTTTCTTCATTTCTCTCTTTTTTATTTTGTTCTTGATTGTTTACATCCTGGATGTCTTCGAACATCTTATTGGTGTAGAGGATGGGTGTATATGGTATCCTCACAATATTAATATATCCCCCTATTGAAGAAGATGCTCTTAGATGCCCAACGAGGCAGGGGATAGAGGCATCTCCAACGCGAAAAACAAAACATCCTCAAATGTTCGGCCCAAACACATTTAGCCCTTTAAGGGGATCATCAAATCAGTCTCAATGTTTGAATCCCCACAACACATAAATAATTTTTTTTTGCCAAGACGTTCGGCCGGTCTACTGTGAGTTGGAGCATGTGTACCCACGGCGCACACCTTCTACTCATCTATTTTCCATCTCGGCCTGCATGACTCTAGTCATAGCCTATGGTCTAAATTTGAGAAACATGGTTGGATGATCGGCACCCGGCCAAATATTGGTGGAACATTTGCGGGTGAAAATTCGGTGATCCGTGTTGAAGATGTCATGAGAACGGTCCACACAGAGCATATGTCCTAATTTCTCCGCCTTAAAATAAGAGTCTCAATCTTAGTATAACTTTACTTTGAAAATGTTTTTATATTATAAAAGGGAGGTAGTAGCTTTATGATTCGAGTATTTCCATATGACTACCGGACAAGAAAGCATGTTGAATGGTCCGAGTGGGTGTCGCATCAGCAGATCCAATCCAGTGAACAAGCATAGACATGGAAGAAGCAGGAGGCGCCGCTGGCGCCGTCCGGGCCGTGTCCCGGCGACTGGTCCGGCCGTCGATCGGCGACGCGCCGCCGCCGGAGGACATCCACCTCACGCCGTGGGACCTCCGCTTGATCAGCGTCGACTACATCCAGAAGGGCCTCCTCCTGCCCGCGCCTCCCGCCGGCGGCGACCGCCTCGTCGGCACCCTCGCGTCGTCCCTGGCGCGCGCCCTGGGCAGGTACTACCACTTGGCCGGCCGTCTCGCCGTCGAGGAGCGGGGCGACGGGACAGTCGACGTCAGGCTGCGCTGCACCGGGGAGGGCGCCGAGCTCGTCCACGCGACGGCGCCCGGCGTCGCCGTCGCGGACATTGCCGGCTCGGTGTACACCCCGTCATCGGTGGTCCGGGCCTTGTTCCCGTTGAACGGGGTGCTTGGCGCGGACGCAGCCGTCGATTCGCTCCCCGTGCTGTCGGCGCAGGTCACCGAGCTCGCCGACGGCGTGTTCGTCGGCGTGTCGTTGAACCACTCCGTCGGCGACGGCTTTGTCTTTTGGGAGTTCTTGAACGCTTGGTCGGAGATCAACCGGGGAGGAGGAGCAACCAGCGACCTAAGAGCGATCTCCGCGCGGGTGCACCGGAGGTGGTTCACTGATGCCAGCCCCGTGCCGATCCCCCTGCCTTTCAGCAAGCTGCAGCACGTCGTTCGGCGATTTGATCCCCCGATTATGCAAGAGTGTTTCTTCACCTTCTCCGCCGCGAGCGTCAAGGAGCTCAAGGCGAGGGCGAACGACGAGATGGCCGGCACGGCCACCGCCACCATCTCCTCTCTCCAGGCCCTGCTCGCGCACCTGTGGCGAGCGGTCTCCCGAGCGCGGCGCCTCCCGCCGGGGAAGGAGACGTCCTACAGCCTGGCCGTCGGATGCCGAGGGCGCCTGAGCGGCATACCGCCGGGATACATGGGCAACGCGCTAGTGCCCGGCACGGCGAGCTGCACCGTCGGCGAGATTCTGGGCAGGGGGCTAGGCTGGACGGCGTGGCAGCTGAACCGCGCCGTGGCGTCGTTCGACGAGGAGTCCGTGAGGGAGTGGCTGGAGAGCTGGACCAGGGAGCCGCAGTTGCGGTACTTTGGGAGCCTTATGTCCGGAGGCGCGGCGCTGATGACCGGGAGCTCGCCGCGGTTCGACGTGTTCGGGAACGACTTTGGGTGGGGGAAGCCGGCCGCCGTGCGTAGCGGCCGCGAGGGCAAGATTGATGGGAAGGCGACGGTGTACGAAGGGCCGGATCGGGGAGGGAGCATGTCCCTAGAGGTGTGCATCGCGCCTGACGCGATGGAGAGGCTCGTCGCCGACGAGGAGTTCATGGACGCCGTCACGATGTTGCCGGCCCAACATCAACATGGGTGATCAAATTCTAGCTACTCTTATGGGCCATTTTCCAAATACATCATCGATCATCTCCGGTCTCGTCGTTCAACAATCTCGCTCTAATCATGGAAAATTGAAAGCAAAACTGTGAAATTTTCGAAAATGTTATACGGAACCATGGTTCAGCCGAACCTATGGTTGACACCATTGATCTCTGGACACTTTTCATAAGAATCCGTGCATGATTAATTAAAAAATACATGATGGGAGCTGTTTGCATGTTAAACAATGCATGACGCGGATCCACATGTAGCAGGATGTTGAATCGTACGGCGTCGACCATAGGTTCGGCTGAACCATAATCCAGAATCATGCCTCTCTGAAATTTTTTGTCTGATCCAGACAGAAGCAAGTGCTCGCAGCGAGGTTATTGCAAGAATAAGAGCTGTTATTAGTTTGAGTTTTCTTCTTTATGGATCATTGCAATGACCTATACATGCATGTTGTCGGAAGAAACGAATGTTGTGCTCCTAGTTCAACTTCAGTAACGTGTTAGGACCTAGGAGTGCATTGTGTATAAGTGAATAGGAAAGCTAATTTTGCAAAAAAATGTTGATCAAATCAGTAACTGGCGTGAATGTCTATTCGAACATGAAAATTGTTGATCGGATCAGATGTTGTTGCTCGCAAAGGGTTTGGCTAAGTGGTTAACTATGTCTTGTGAAACGTTTGAAAGAACAACGTGTTTGGTTGACGGTAATTAGAGTTAGGAAATGTGAATTGAATGGGTATGAGACTTTAAACCTATTGTTTGGTCAGGGGGATTGGGAATTCATAAGGGAATAGTCATGGCCTTCTGGGGCTTGAGACTCTAACTCCCACCATTTTATTAACAGAGAACGGGGTAAGAGTTGGAAAAAAATTGTTTTAGTGAGTCAATCTTAACCCTTCATTATAACTTACATTAACTTCCCTTTTCTAGTTCCGCATCAATTTTTACTGACCAAACAAGGGAATACAGTTTCTTCTTAAATTCTCACACATAATTCCTATCATGCGCCATAAAGAGTATTAGGAACAAAACGACTCATCTCATGTCTAATCTCGACACAACTCCCTGCTCTAAACTCCCTTTCCCTTGCCAAGTATTACCAACCACGCTGGAAGGAGAATAGGCGGATCTTCATCGACACCTTCCGAATTGTGCTCGACATTGCAATCTTAACTTCAAGGAAGATCATGAGCAAGTTGGGCTGGCCTTTATGCCGGTGATGGAGTCATGTGTGGGAGTTTTTCTCCTTTTTCTACTTTCTTTTATGAATAGTTCTTGTTCTATTTTTGTTTTCCGGATTTTAATGAAATAAGCGCCAACCTTTCTCCTAAAAAAATGTCAAGGGCGAAGAATGTGTTCTTTTCTTATTGTTTAATTGTCATGCACTCTCGGCACAGATTGTTGAAACTTGAAAAGTGAAAACGATTGCAATGTTAAGTAATTAATTTAATGGAATCACATTGTCATTTGCAAACAGTTGCGCATAATGAACTGAATTGGATTAATTATTTTCCATACATCTTCTAAAGTTTCTTTTGGGGCGTAAACGGAGATCTATTAGTCACTTGGTAGAGTACAATCCCCTACTTTGGTAGGTTTTAACTTTGTTAGACAGGACCCAGCCAAACCATGATGCGAACATACCATCTACCATAAGAAACTAGCTCGCAGCTAAAGAGTACTTCGTTCTACCAAACTTATTACAAGCAAGGGTTTAGTTAGGTCTCAGTAACGAAGTCTCAGTCAAGTGACAAAACATGTAAGAAAGAAAGAAGAAGAAACTGAAAAGAAAAAATTGCACATATCTCGATGTAAAGATCTTGCGAGTATAGCATTGACTGAGACATAACCAAATCTCAATCGACTGAGATTTAACAAGAAGCAAAACTATACAAGCAATATCCCTATCACCATCACGAACCAACCTGTGGTTGGATGGTTAGGTAGACAGTGGTATCTTCGGCCCACTAGGTTAGTCCTACACTTGACATTGGTGCTCGTATTTTTCTGGATTTATCTCCGATATTGCGGCCGCACTATTAGATTCCAAAATTACCGGGAGCAGGGATCATTGCAGTGTCAAATCCAGCCCTTCTCTACAAACTTCTAGTTCAACTTCGAATGCACTCGTACAAGTCCTTGCAAGTCCAGAAGATGGTCCTAACATATATACCATGGTGGATCATCCCAGTCATCGATGTGTATTTATCCAAGATAAAAGATTCATCGTCATTTAACTTCACCCAAGATAAAGAGCCATCGTCATTTAACTTCACACAACTCAGACTCTCACCCACCATCTAGCCTCAGCGGCAACGAATGGCCGCACACGTCACTTCAAAGTACAATTGTAATAATTGTCGAGTTCCTTTCCTTTAAAAAGATCAACACTTTAGATGTTCTTCGGTGAGAATAAGCCAGTCGACATAGTCGCATAGTAAACATTTTGATCCCTCAATTGAAGGCAATAAACTTGCCCAACTGAAGTTCGAGACTTCAAGTAGTGTAATGTGAAATCTGCAAACGATGCTATGCGGTTCTTTATCCGAACAAATGTGACACTACACATCTATGACTTTTTGGTATGATTATGCGACGAAGAAGCACGGATGTGCCATCTCTTGTTCAAATGCAAACATGCCAAGGTGATCCGGAGGGGGGCAACGGGAGGATAGGGAGACCTACTCAAGCACCAGAGCATGCTATGGTGCTATGATGGAGAAGCTGACAGCTTTCACGAAGAGAAGCATACACACTTGTGTGGAATTGATGTAGGCCACCAACGACCTAATGGACCAAGATCAATGTTATGTCACTCACAAAGGCTATTGAGATAAATGGCAGTTGGGGGTTGTGCTCGGGGATCATGCGCGTGTGCGAGGGTGGGGATGGGGGACCTTCACTACATGTTTTCTCCCAAATATTCATAGTGCACAATATTAGAGGTGCTTATGGCTGAAGTTGGTTTCACGACATAGTTGAAAATTGGGAAAGCCATTTGAAATCCGATACACTTATGCTCAAACAAATCCTCGAAGATGATGGTTTCGACTTACCCTACCTCAATGTGTGCCTGACTGGCTAAAAATTTCTATCCTCAGTAAGTCATGGAGTACAAGACTGGGCATTACCCTAGAGTTTGTAATCAGGTAGCTCATCTTGGCAACTAGGGGAACGCCAATAGGCATGTAGCCTATGTGCCTGACATATGTGATCCATGTGTATCCTATCGACGGCGAGCGATTTAACTTCGCACATTGTTTTAATGCAACATATTGTGTTTAAACAAGGGTTTTAGTTCTTTTAAGGAAAGACCAACATGGCAACTTTCTTGATCCAAAAAATAATTACATCATCAACCAAACTAGAAACAGTAAAACCACCCTTGTTGAGACAGATGTCTAGTATCCCTCAACATTGGCTCTGAATAGGGAGCTACATTATTTCCTTCTCTAGGACAATGCTATATCATTAAATGTACAAAATTACACGCTAAGAACACACATTCATAGTGGATGGTTGAAGTTTTTGTAGTTGGAAAACCTCCATCATGCATCGCCCGAGCAACTTACATGCAATCAAACTTGATTATCATCTCAGAAGATAAGGATTTTTGCTTGGAGGGCCGCGACCGATAGTTTGGCCGTCCAGACCAATAGAGTTAAGCACCATCAGATTACTTCAGGTATGTGCTCTATTTGTGGAGTAGAAGAGGAAAGCACTTTTCATGCCATCGTTACTTGTCCTAAGGCTCGTGCCCTGCGATTGGCCTTGAGAGAATCGTGGAATATTCCTGATGAAGAGTGGTTCAAATTCTCGGGACCAGATTGGCTATTGATTTTGTTGGATCTTTTGAGCTTGCAACAGAGAGAGCAAGTTTTGTTTCTATTATGGCGAGCCTGGCACCTGAGAAATGATTTAATTTTTGGGAAAGGGAAGGAATCCATTGCTGCTTCTGCAATTTTTGTGGTAAACTATTGGTCTTCTTTTACGTCCAGTCACGGCTCTGTTGAGGTTGTTACTAATAACAAAGGGAAAATGGGAGGTGCTACACCAGTTTTAGCAACATCACATGAACAGGTGGGATGGAAGCCTCCACCAGATGATTACATCAAGATCAATGTCGATGCCAGCTATGTGGAGAGTATTAGTGCGGCCAGTGTGGGGGTGGTTGTAAGGATCTCATCAGGTGAAGTTATTATTTCTTCCTGGGACTTTCTGGGCCAGTGTTGCAGCATGAATGAAGCTGAGCTACGTGCTTGTCTGGCAGGCCTTTATATAGGTATCACTCTTCACCAGTCCATTATTTTGGAGACTGATTGTGCTTTTGTCCGTTCTTTCCTTGCAAATGAGAATCTTGACAGGTCTCCGCTCGTTGATCTGAAGAAAGAAGCTTTGAGTATATTGAGGATGCTCAAGAATTTTAAAATTGCGAAAATTAATCGGCAGGCCAATAAGGTGGCTCACGAAATTGCAAAGCTTAGCTTTATAAATAAATCTGATGGGATTCTTCTTAATAGTGTTCCACCGTGTGTGGCGAATTTTGTAATGAATGATTGTAATAACATTATTAATTAATTAATATAGGGGGGGTTTTAAAAAAAACTTGATTATCATCTTTGCACATCCAACTTGGCATGCAAGAATAAGTCCCTCTTTGAGCGCCCTAGCCTCAATAGTAGCTACAGAGTTAACACACATTTACAAAAGCTTCCAAATTCATCTCCCATTACCGCCTCCATCACACCCTTGCCACCCCGAAGACAAAGAGCGGCATCAATGTTCTATTTAAGAGTCCTTAGGGGCCTCGACCACCCATGCCTATTGATACCGCTCTTGTTATCCAGGGGCTTCCCATAACTAGCGCCTCTTGAAATTTTTCCTATGATTGCATTATTCATTCATTTGATACAAAGGAATTGACTATAGGAATCCACTCCAACCTCGTTTTTACATTCCTATGAAGATATATCAAGGCAAAGACCAT